ATAAATATGAACAAGTATGACATTTTCTAGGTTGAAAATTTAAACCGATCAAAAATATTTAATTATAAATTTTATGCTAAAAAGTTCTACACAATTCAATCGCCTAAAACTTATTTTTTCTATAAAAATTTTATAAATACACACTAAATGGCTTTACCAATAAGTGATTTGTGCGAGGGAGAGCCAAAAAAGAAATGATAATATATATAAATAACCAGAGTGGTAATAACTGAGGTTATGATGAATAAGGGACAGAATTATGGTACAGAAATTTTGTGGGCTGCACATAATTATTTTTGCCACCTCAATTAGTGAAAGGGTGGGACACATAAGTAAAGCAGACGAAGAGAATCTTGACAAAATTTCCATAACTCTTTAATAAGATTAAAGAACATTCGTGAATGTAAATAATTCTAATAAAGCTTTAAATCTCATTTATTTTCATCGTCAAGACAAAATATAATAATGAAAGATTTATTTGCCGTGTTCTTGAAAACAAGTATCCGATGAAGGCCACGATAGATTTTGAATTTAGAAGACATTTATTTGTCTTTCTTGCACGACCTCTATAAACAAATACGTTTGATAACTAGAAAGAAAAATGATGGAGAAAATGGAAATTAAGGGACTGCAAAGAGAAGGGATGGGAAGCTTTAGTCTCATAAAGTGATGAGTTTCTTGACAGGGACGGATTTAGGATTGAATTCAAGATCGGGCTATAAAATTCTAAACCAGACTACTACGTAAAAAAAATAAAATTTACACATAAAAAATCGATTTTTTACCAAAAAATAAAATAAAATATATTTAAAAAAAAAAACTCTTGGACCTGGAGGGCGGGAGGGCTACAACCCAGCCCAACCCCCCCTTAAATCCGTCTCTGTTTCTTGGGAAATTTTTTGTCTGATTAATATGATATTGGATTACGTTGATCTTGATTGTGGGAAGTAAAGCTAAATTTCAATTTCAACAGTATTAACATGAATATTGATGGATTATGTTATGGTTACTAATTCTTGATCCATCGATTAATTAAAAGATTAAATAAATTTCCATAAAGTTAAAAAAATGCAATAATAATTTTTTTTTTTTAATTGGATAGATATTTAAGTAAAAACATTTCACTTTAACACTGTGTCAGCTTGTTGAACCAACTATTACCATGCTATATCATAGTCAAAAAAGGAAAATTGAAGCAAAACCAAAACTGAAGTGTGGAAGAAACACAAATATATACAAATAGCATTATTGATATAAAAAAAACACACTGAGAGCGTGTAAGAACAGGAAAAAGATAAGTGATGTGAATTAGGACAGACAATGTCATATGTCGGAATAGCGTGGGAGTGCAATTATTGGATTGCTTCCCACTGATCGCGGGACCCGTCTTTTTCATTCCTCACCATCAGATTCTTAGCCTCCGTACTCTAATTCCTTGCCGGATTTTACGCTCCACAATCTCCCCCACCAGTAACTCCATGTTCTCTACCATCATCACCTTTCAAACACAAACATGCACTCTTTCTTTTTTCTTTTAACGAGGTGTCCCAACGTGCGCCAGACTATATCCTCGTCCTTGAACCTCCGGCCCCTCAGCAGCTCAGGGAGGTAAATCGCGTGATATACCCTTGTTGGTTCCCAAGTTCCCACACGACTTTTACTCCTTCCCCAAAGGGAGCCTTCCTCCATAGTGATCAATCCACCAATAATTCCTCTTTTATTGGATCAAAAGTTCTCACCAGGAATCGAACTCCCCACGCTTGGTTCCAGAGCTCCCCAATATGATTGTTCCGCCAACTTAAATGTGCCCCGGGGGCACAAACATGCACTCTTTCGTATTGCCTACTCCTTGGTAAAGATATGTATCTATAAGTTCCCGTATGTCTGTCATTCTCCATTTTTTTTTTAAACTTGCTTTTAACCATATATTTTTATAATAAAATATTTTATACGTAAATTAAAAATAATTTTATACGTTTTAGTCATATATTATTTAAAAAATCACTATTTCAAAACTCATTTTACCTAAAAAGAAATAAAAAACTCTTTTTAATAGGTTCGAAACTGGAGCTAAATAGAAAAATTTGAAGCCCACGTTAATTTCAAATCTTTTGAAATAGAGTTGACAGTGTTTTTATCTTAAAATTGTAATAGATAGCCCACAAACCTTTAAAAAAATGTGGTATAAGGATCGGAGAGCCATTCTGTGTATACAGAACTATTCCTGCATAGAAGAAAAATAGAAAACT